TTTTGGGTACCTCAACAGTTTTCGATAAATACTCTTTAAAGTTCCTATTTGTGAATTTCTTACAAGAGAATTTATTAGCATCCCAAAATTCCCTCCCACCCTATTCCCTTAATCACTTTCTGGCTACATAGTGGCACACCTAGGAGTTACAGTTGTATTGTCGGCAGATCCGTAATAAAAAGTTACCCTAGAAAATGGCAAAAATAAAAACAAAACGATGAGCACAAATATTTTTAAATTTGTTTTGTGCAACTGCCCCGACTTGGCTTGGCAGGGCTGTATTAATTGTTTTCATTTCTTCTTACTTTTTTTTGTATTTGTTCTTTTGTGGTATTGTTGGTTGTACTGTTTTCTCTTCGTAGTACATACAATTTAATACAAATGGCAAAATTACCATTACTGCCGATCTGTGTAGTAATTATAACCAGTTTTAATAAAAGCATCTTTATTCCGCTAATCATAATCCAGCTGCAACCGGCTTCCCGCACCTCGTGCCTGCATAGGACTATCATTTGGCAACAAAAGCAAATCGTTACGTAATATGTAAGCAAGCACTTCTAACGTTACACACTTCATCGAAGGTCCGAAACCAATCGGGAGAAACAGAATCTGCCATCATCCTTCAAATGCAACGAAAGGTGCATTCGAATCTCGTTCCTGAGGCATCGCTCCTCATCCCAGCATCTCCATCCAATATCCCATATAAATTTTAGTCCTCATAATGATATTGATAGACTACCCATAACTTGTCGATCTTCTTCGCCAGTTGAATCAGGAAATGCAGCACAACGCGTGACAACATCTTCATCTGCAATCCCTGCAGACCATCCACGCACCACACCTTGCCGCGGTGATGCAACGAAGAACGCGGATCAGCTGTGTGCATCGCACACAAAATCTGCAGTTTGCAAGTCCACCATTTATAAAGCTTTTCGAATTAAGGAAAAGGGCCCGGTACATGTACATGGTATCAAAAATCGTATACATAGACTAAAATTTTAGCTCTCGCGCACTCCGATTCCCTTTTTTTAATGCTTTATGTCATTTTAAAGGACAAATGATTTGTATACATTGTTCTGAATACCGTTTGCACGCGCAACATCCGTTTGCCGAAAGGGGGTAAACTAAAATGGGCGAAAAGTTTAAATGCATTGTGGTGTACCAAAAGTCGGTTATTACCCGATCTTCTTGAAATTTTGCTGTACAAAGGCCATAAAGGCGAAAGTGAACTAATATCAGATTCAGAGCGTTTCTTTTCGTTTTAAAATAATTTTAAAAATTTTAAAATTACAGAAAAGGAAACTGGAGTGCGCGAAAGCGAAAGCTTTAGTACTTTTGACACCATGTAACGGGCCGTTTTCCTTAAAGCAGCAAGTGTTACACCAATGTGTCGTGTACATCCATCCGTATACTGTTTTTCCCGATAGCTTAGTTTGCACACCAGCTCCTGGTATTTCATTCGAAATTGAGGATCTTCGTAGTTATATGGATCAGCAATCCGGTCCAAAGACGTCAACAGAAATGCAGCTGGCTCTCACTCGGTCTCGGCAAGCCTGCCTCCAACGCTTCCCACATCGCACCATGGTTAGATCATCGTTAGGTATCAGGCGCGCTCTGGGCATACTTCAGTATCGGTCCTGCATCGGACAACAGCACCGGCAACAAAATCGTAAATGCCCCTAAAAGTTGATGTATCAGAGGAACAACTTGTACAAACTTGTCCAATACTTATTCTAATTTAGAACATAATTATGAAATCGGTTATTAAAAACGCACTCTGGAACGATTCAGTAACATACTTCTATTTGAAAAAAAAGAAAAGGTGTCCTTTAAATCAGTTCCTTGATTTGATTTGATAGAAGCGGAACCCAGTCGAACATCCCGTCCAATTCACTCCTATTAGGGCAATGATTGGGTGACGCACACGTCGTCGACGCCCTCCGCCCACTGCATGAGGAAATGCAGCGTAATGCGTGACAACTTCTTCACCTGCACTCCCTGCGGCCCTTCTACGCACCACGTTTTCCCGCGGTAATATAACGACGAGCGCGGATCAGCTGTCTGCGTTGCACACAAAATCTGGAATGATACACAAAGTTAGATTAGCGCGGCCGTATGCGTAGCATCACCAAAAAGAAGGCGAATTCGAATCTGAGTGCGGCGAAATGCCACACTGCCAGTTGTCCGAGTGCGAGGAAAACCATCTGCTGACAGCTAATGTTCTACTTTGTGCTCTTAGTTCTTGACTTCTTGTCACCTTGCAGAAAGTCTGCTGGAACCGTACAAACTGAGAATTAACATTCTGCGAATTAGTGACCCGCGCCAAAGTCGTTTTCAATCCACGCAACTGGACATCACTCGGCGCCGGCACACTCCCCTCCAACACTTCCCACACGGCGCTAGCAGATCTTCATTCACGGTAAGCTGCATATCGGGTATCTTGATAACCAGACGAAGAAAATGTGCTGTCCCGTCGATCGACAACACAAAGAGGCACTGGTCCAGCCGGACAGTTTCGCACGGGAGAACGCGGCAGATGCTAATAAAATCACCCAGGGTCGTGGTGAAGACCGATTTGTGGGGAACGTTCGACGCCGCTTCTGGATCGTGCAGTGTACACTTATACCGCCACGTCCTGTCGCATCTGTCCACCAAACGGAGATAACAGGAATATCGCACCAGATGGAACGCCGTCAGCCGCACGCGGGGAATGTTTTCCTGGGCATACCGCACCATGTCCGTCACTTTGAAGAAACTACTCAGTTGTCCGTAGTCACTGCAGTTCGCCCACCGACGGGCTAGAATCAGACGACGAGTGGATGGTCGTAGGCATTTGAACACAGGAGACAACAGATTGTAGTCGCGTCGCTCTTGATCATCCATACTTCGAAGACCCGTAAAAATGTTGGTAGTCAGCAGCGGCGATTGCAAGATGGACGCCCGGGCTGTGCAAACGTTGCGCAGTGTATTCTGCGCCAGAGTGTCCAGATGGGAGAACACTTCCACCCACAGTTCCACCGGCAGCGCACTCAGATCGTCTGAAAAACCGCATTCCGGAGAGAAAGAACTAGGCAAACTGCAGGGAAGATTTTGGGCCACCCGCCGGTGAAACGCTACCATCTCCACCTGCAAAACAACAACCGAAAGTTGGAATAAACAGTGATAAAAATAGACAGCCCAGCAACTGCTTCTTTTACCTGGTCGAACGAATAGATCTTGATGCGACGCTCAAGATACCACAAATACCCTTCCTTGATTTCCACCAATGAAATGTCCCCTCGTTTCAAACGGTTGTAAGAGTTGCCCTCATTCTCTAACCTTTTCCGCAGCTTTTGTAGTGAATTCGAGAAGCACTTCCTTGGCAACTTCAGCCGGCGCAGCGTAAATGAATCTTTTCCAACGCGTGTGCGTACAGGTGGACCCGAGTCCAGTACAGCCAGATCGTCATATGGCCCCACAGGATATTCCAGATTTTCAACCCCATCCCACCAAGTACCCGGGATTCTGGGGCGGATTCGCGTAGCGGGAACAATATCTGTACGAGTAAGGTTGTTGCCCCAGTTGACAACCGCGGCATTGTACCACTTGTGTCTTCTACCATGCGCCAAATTGACTATTTCCGCGGGAAACTACATCCATGGACTGTACAGAGTCTCGCGCATCAACACTTCCACGGGAAAAGTCGAGCGTTGTTGAGCATACATTACAGCCATATCCATGCCGAATTGACCGCCATATCTCATCGCCAAGAAGACATTGCTGTCGAAAGGGAAGAAGCGACGTTGTCCAGAGGGACATCGGAGATCCACGAAGGAACCGTTATTAGCCAGTTCTACCACGCGTCCGTAACGCACGAGACCATCAGCGCCCACAACATCTACGCTGTTACCTTGATGGATCCCGGAATACATGGTTGAAAACGCTGGATAGAATAAGACTGAGGAGCTTTTAAAAGGATGCTTGAAAACGGGCCCAAAACAGCACAGCGCAGTAAAAGTTCAGATTTTCAGAGTACGCATTTCTGAGACTTGGATATCGAAGCGAAACCTCTGTCATGTATTATCGTTCACGCACTGGAAAAATCCCGGGAAAATTCTGGGTAATGGTATTGTTACTGGTAGACAGTGGTGGTGTTCTTAGCTGGCAGTGGTAATGGAACGTTTTTGGTACTGGTTGAGAACTTGAGTGGTAAATATAGTGGTACTTGTAGCAGGTACCGTAATGGTGCTTATGGTAGTGTTACAAGTAATCCCAGCGCCACCTGCACCCTGATAAAAAGTTACTGAAAGTAAACCTGGTCGTGTGTTTTTGTTAAACGAGAAAAATTTATCAAACCGATAAAATATAACAACTGGAAAGAAGAAAACAAACAGTTCGGCACTTGCTCCAAGCCCTCACAAAAGCTTAAGTACATTCTCAGCGGCTCCTTGTTTTTGCACTAACTTTTCCCGCTGATTTAAATGACCGCTGGTCAACGCTTGTAATGCTCATTTGAATGAATTATGTGGTGGTAAAGGAAGTTCATCGGTTTTTCCAAAGTTCCACGTACATTTTTATTCTACTGAGCGATGTTATTATGAAATAGCAGTTACAACGCCATTCATTTAACATTTCCGATATCCGATAACCCATGCCGAAAGCCTTGCAATTTGGGCTGCAGTCTTCCATATTTTAAAAAAACATGGAAAAGGCCCTACTGTACTTCCGCTTCTTGCCGAACCTGCCGTGCCTGGCGCAAGATACTTTATCTGGATTAAACGAGATTTTACTGCTATAAACGCGTCACACAGTGTGGCTAGTTATGTTACTGACATAAACTAGCTAGCGCTTAATCGGTTTTTGCTTTAAATAAAAGATCGCTATTTAAATATTAGTTGTAATTGAAAAATGGAAGAAGAAATAGACATTCAGAGAACTGACAGTATTCCCAAAAATTAAATATATACATTCTTAACAACGACCTCTTATCGACGCGGCCCACGCAGAATAGCCCATAAGATCAGATCCTTGATGAAGCATTACCAGGCCAACGACAGCGAGTGAGCCGCCATCTTGTGTAGCTGCAGGAGGAAATGCTGGGTAACACTCGACAGTTTCTCCAGCTGCAAACCGTGCAGGCCGTCCACGCACCACTTTTTGCCGCGATAATGCGTCGACGGGCGCCGATCAGCCGACTGCATCGCACACAGCATCTGAAATCGTATTAAACTATAATTAACTATTCATAGTCTATTTGTGTTATCGAAGCAGGAAATGAAGGTGCAGTCCGTAACTGCGAACGTACCGCACAGACGACTTTCTTGAGATTGGACTCGTTTTTTTCTAAGGATTTCATACGGGCTGAGAGTTTCTGTAGCTCTCCGTCACTCGGTGGCAGCATCACGGCCTCCAGTGCATCCCACAATACCCACTGGAAATCAGCACGAACTGGCAGTCGCGCTGTGGGAATTCTGATCTCAACACAAATTCTCCGTTCGCGACCAATGAATCCAGGAAAAAAACAGCAGCATGCTAAGCGAACAACGCAGTTCGCCATGAAGATAGTGCTACAAGGCAGACTGCTGCAGACAGCCATAAAGTCCTGCAGGCGATAAAAACCGGGCTCCACATCCGCTTTTACCGTTACAGGTCCCGAACGATGCAGGAGACATTCGGATACACTGGCGCTGCTTATATTTTGGACGCCGCAGTCAATCTGCAGCTCGAAAGCGAAACGGCTCAGGCGCAGACTGGCCAGACGGAGTCCGGTGTGGTGCTGCGCCATATGATGGATCATACCACACAAACGCACCATATCCGCGGTGATCGGCCAGGATCTGTACTGGGACTGCGCCATCATAATGTGATGCGTGCCCGGCTGCAGGCGTTTGTACACCGTCGCCAAACATGAGAAATCGGCGAATCGGGATCGGTCAAGACTGGTGTTTTGCGGATGATGATACGGGAACGCAGCATTGGTACATCCATGATCCTTTTCCACGCTGCGCATACCACTCGCAGTCCCGCCTGCGTCGCAGTGTCCAAGTGGGAAAAAACTTCCAGCCACAATTCTACCGGAAGCGCCATTTTGTCAAAGGCTGGCCGGGACGTATTTGAGAACCGAGACATCCTAACCAGGTCCTCCTGGAAACCGGCGACGGCCGCCTGCCAATCGTGATCGAAATAATACACGAAATAGTACACGAAATAATACCGCTTTGAAACCGACAGAATGCCTACTCCTTACCAAAAAATTCCAGTTTGTGGGATCACATTCATCAGAAAAATCTTGGTGGTAAACGTAGCCTAAACGGTCATCCACGATATCCACCAAAGCGGCCGTATAGTGGAAGAAATACCTTTCGTAGCTATTGAAACGCTTGATGAGCGCATCCGCTTCTTTGATGGTCACCGAGAATAATCCATCCAGCTGCACTGTACGCTTGAAAAAGGTCCATGGAGGGATGTGATCCTGAAGCTTATGCAAACTCCCGTTGTTTACTGCCGCCATACGGTGTGCCAGTCGATCCCGATTCAGTGTAGTCTGCGCCGGCCAACGGATGCGTTCGATGGGGAGAAAATCTCTACAAGGTTCTCCGCTGCCGTTGGGTTTCCAATGGACCACGGCCCCTCCGTACTCCGGTTGCGGTATACCGCGTCCGAAATTGACCAATTCCCCAGGAAGCCAAATCCATGGACCATACTTTGTCTCCGGCACCAGGACTTCCACAGGAACGGGGGAAAGCTGCTCATTGAACAGGCGAAACAGATCGGATTCCTTGAGCAGTTTCGGCCAAAAAAGCCTTTCAAATGGAACGTATTCACATCGCCGGTAGGGGCACAGCAGGTCGACGAAGACCCCGCTGTCCGCCACGTCCACCACGCGTGCGTACCGCATCATCGCATCGTCGTATAGAACGTCCACGCTGTAAGAGTTGCGCATCCCGCTAGGCATGGTTGAGGGTGAGCGCGGAATGAACAATATTGTTTGGGTTCGGCGCAAATGGAGCACAGTGTGCACAAATGAGTACGAACCCGGAACCTCCAAGACACTAATCGCTCTTCCTTTTAAGGCTGCAATGGTTAGGCCAAATTCAAAGGAACAAAAATCGATGTGAAATAAAGGAAAGTACAGATAGTTGGCTATAAACCTACCGCAACGAAGTTTGAAATGCAAAACTACTCGCGCTTAGCACTGTCTCATTGCACTTGTCAACACTGCTTACATTTAGTCTGGGACACAAAATTTTAAATTTCGAACATCTTTCGAAAGAAATGAATATTACAGCGAACGGATGCTTGGATGAGCTAATCTGCTATCCGAGCAAAGAGCTCATGCACAAGTGGGTGTACCCAGAAGTACCAGAAGCGAATATGACAGCAAGTTCGTACCACTTTGGGATTTACCAAGAGAAACTGAATTCAGATGGAATTTTTCGAATTGCAAGCACGGATTCGTACAAAACTATCTCAAAAACCGGTTAAAACTGGAACAGAGAAATAAGAGAAGTTGAAAAATTTACGGTATCACTCCGTGCTTCGCCAACTGCGATGAGGTAAGGTAAGTATCCTTATGCGTAGCTTTATACGGCAAAATGTCACCTTGCGATGTGTTGTAAGTTTTGCAATCTTAATAATCGACCTTGCCTTTCTTTTGTAAAATATTGAAGTTCGCGTTATCTTATGTAAATGTACAATAAAGGAATTATGCACATGCTTGAAATAAAGAAACTCCGAAGTTACAAGTTATCACAAATACGCAGAAGCAATTCCACAAATTAATACGTATATGCTGTTGCTACATAAAAGATGCTACAGATAATATCAACATAATGTGCCGGCGCTATAATATAGCGTCATTCTCGTTCATTGCAAGCAATACACTTGTCTGTGGCTTAATCAACTAGATGCTTTAAACATTGATGTCGTAAAACTTCCGCCTGCGTTTTCGTTTCGGTTTTTGGTCGAGAGACTGATCCAGCACGAACTCTTCTGCGTCCACCGCCAGCTGTACGATTTACGGTATCACTCCGCGCTCGCCAACTGCGATGAGGTAAGGTAAGTATCTTTTTGCGTAGGTTTAAACGGCAAAATGTCACCTTACGATGTGTTGTAAGTTTTGCAATCTTAATAATCGACCTTGCCTTTCTTTTGTAACATGTTGAAGTTCGCGTTATCTTATGTAAATGCATAATAAAGGAATTATACACATGCCTGAAATAAGAAACTCCGAAGTTACAAGTTATCACAAATACGCGAAGCAATTCCACAAATTAATACGTATAAGCTGTTGCTACATAAAAGATGCTACAGATAATATCAACATAATGTGCCGGCGCTATAATATAGCGTCATTCTCGTTCATTGCAAGCAATACACTTGTCTGTGGCTTAATCAACTAGATGCTTTAAACATTGATGTCGTAAAACTTCCGCCTGCGTTTTCGTTTCGGTTTTTGGTCGAGAGACTGATCCAGCACGAACTCTTCTGCGTCCACCGCCAGCTGCACGAGGAAATGCAGTGCAATGCGTGACAACTTCTCCACCTGCAGCTCCTTCAGCCCGTCCACGCACCACTTCTTTCCCCGGTAATGCAGCGCCAAACGTGGATCCGCTGTTTGTGCCGCGCATAGAATCTGGAAAACTAGCCCGCGTTAATAAACTTCCGAAGTCGAACATAAACATTTGAGTCGCTGCTCGTATTACGTAACAGTTGACACGTATAAATCCAACAGCAGATCATTCGCCGCTGCTTTTCGACTTTTAGACACTAGGGTAAGCTGTATTAGCGCGCTATCGAGTGCGGTTACCTAATAACTGTTGCAGCTGCTTCCGATGCAAATTTTCCTGACTGGTTAACTATTATTTTTATTTTTAAAATCTACAGTCGCTGCATTTATAATCTAACCGTGTTAGTGCGTGCGCTAAAAAAACATGAAAAACTTACGAACTTCGCCACATCTCACCTTACAAGCTAATTTGCAGTGGGTCATTCGGAGCCGAGAATCTTCGCTAAGTGAATAAGCGATCCATGCCAAAAACTTGCTCAAAGTGAGGAGTTGATCATCACTCAGCACTAATAATCCCGCTTCCAACACTTCCCATACCGTGCTGGCGAAATTCTTACTGATCAGCAGTGCTGCCCTGGGTACGTTGATAACCAGTTCCGCTTTGCTCAAACGGTCAAAGTACAATTTGACGCGGCACTCGATGAAATGGAGCGTATCACACGGTAGACCGCGGCACAATGCAATGAAATCCTTCAGAGGGACACTGGCGATGCTGGTTTCCTGTGCTTCCATTGCTGCCGCATTGGGATGATGCAAAGCGCAATCATCCCCAATTATCTTCTCGTCACTCTCCGTCAAGTCGAGGTTACATGTAAAGCGCACCAGACAGAACGCAGTCAAATGGATGTCAGAGTTCTGCGCTACAAATTGCATTATGGAAGATACTTGGAGAAACTCGCTCATGCACTCGCTGCGCTGCCGGGTCAGGATGATGCGCCGCGTGGATGGTCGTAAGCACTTGAAGACAGGCGACACCACGATGTAGTTGTCCCGCTTGCGGTTGAGCTCATGAAAACTTCCCGTAATTATATCAGTAGTTAGCAAAGGCGACTGCAGTATGGCATCCCAAGCGGCGCACACCGGGCGCAGTGCGTTCTGCGTCAGCGTGTCCAGATGGGAGAACACTTCAGCCACAACTCCACCGGCAGCACACGGATACCATTCATATCACCCAACTTCGCGGTCGATGAGCTGTATGTCTTAGCAGTCCGCAAGATGCGAGGAAGACATTCAATGAACGTTTCATGGAATTCTTTAATTTCCTCCTACAAAACATTACATAAATTAAAAGACAACTGCAGCAAAACTAACCAAAATCTTACAGTGAGCTCGTCTCGTGTCTCGGATTCACTGCCATAACGACGCCTAATATACCACAAAATTCCGTCCTTGACCTCCAGGAAAGAGACTTCCTGCTCGTCCAGTTCTTGACAATCGTACCATTCGCCACTGCGAATGTCCAATTTCCTGCGCAATTCATGAGCCGATACCGTGTGGAAGCGTTTTGGCAGCTGCAGGATGCGTTTGATAAAGGAAGTTCGGTCGACGCGCTCCGCATGAAGAACCGAGTTGTTAATTGTAGTCCACCAAGTCATCGGGGACTCTGCGGCGGAGACGTTCAACGGAGACGACTTCTGTACGAATAAAACCGTTGCCCCACTTTACTACGGCTGCATCATCCCACCATCCGAGTTTCCTGCCGCCGCGTCATCTGGAACGATGCCGTCTCGCGTATCTGTCAACGATGCCGTCTGCATAGTAACGTCTTGTACTCGTTGCCAAAAATACATTGCTGCCGAAGGGGAAAAACCGGCATCGTTCGGGGCTACAGGCTACAGTGGAAATCCACAAAGAACCCATTGTCAGCCAAATCCACCACACGTCCGTACTGAACCAGGCCGTCAGCGCTTACAATATCCACGCTGTTTGCTTGGTGGATTCCGCTCCACATAGTTTCAGATTCGCTGGGACAGAATAAGAATAGGTAGTTTAACCAGAAAGTAAAATAGCAGTGCGATGCAATAAATATTATTAATTCTTGGGTAGCAACAAAATTTCGTTTTATGTGCTGAGTGATCTGGGCATGACATCCACAACGCGCACTAAACCATGCGGAAGCTAATTACTGTACCTCAAAATGCTATGGTGAAATAAAAAGACAAGATTTTTGCGCAGTCTTTACTTGGTTAACGCCCACACAGCCGAGTGCCGAGAAACGCTCACTTTACGTGGTTGTGTCCAACGTCTGTTTTTATCGGGCAAGAAGCAAGTTATTCAGATACTCTCTGATTTGACTATTTGAGTAGGAGCGGCTCCCATTGGTTGTTGTACATTAAAACGCTGGTCAAATGGGAAGCTTGGTGGTCGCATGGCGGAGTTTGATGTACCACTTAAAGAAAAATAAAAAACGTACTCGTACTCAAGTACGAGTGCAATTATACGATTTACGACCATCTTGTGCAGCTCCTGATTTTATTATTGCTCTTCTTTAATCATTGCTTTACGATACGGTGTACAGTGAACTGTAAAGGTTTTACGCAGCTAGTTTTCTTCTTGTAACGAACATTAGCTTTGGCTACCAATTGTTCGCTCGATTTGTGTTACTACTCGTATCGTTGATTTGGATTCCGCACATTTGTTTTCCACTGTGCACTGTAGTCCGTTGTGTTCGTCCTCCGCAGCAACTGCGCTTCCAGTTTTGTGGTCTAACGTCTTGTACTATGTTCGACTCGTACAGGAAGCACCGTAACGCTGTGTACAT